CATAAGCCTTATATGAGGGAAATGCCCTTAAAGGTAATCAAAGTTTCAAAAAGGAGGAATCAGTCTGGCATGTTGCAAGTTGTATGTGAACACGTCCAGCAAACTGTTGTTTAATCTGGGTAGTTCATCACACTATTGGAGACCTTAAGATCAAGGTTTTTCAGCATTACCACAAACCACAAATATCAAGATGTCAAGAGACCAGTGCCTTGCAGTCAGGTTCACATTTCTATGGCTGGACCATGCTCTAGAAGTAAGTGATTTACCGCAAGGTTTTTTGCACCTTAAAACATCGCAATCCCACGTTTGAGAGGGAATACTACTTTTTAGAACTCTTTTGCTTACTAATGATCAAATTCCTTTTCAGAGAGATATAATTTTGAAGACGATTTCTCACCTAAAGGAAAACAAACACGGCAGCCATGAGCTACCACCCACAAATCTTAAGTTCCAAATGTGGGTAGATGGTTAATGTGAACTCACTAACTGCAAACCACGGTTTGCTGTTTGTGGTAAGATGGCCAAAAGTGCAAACCTCGATCATGAGATGAAAATAAAAAAAATCACTTGCCCTTCGGAAAGCTGTTGCTGAAGTTAAGTTATTTTTGTGCAGTTGTACCAACCCCCGTTTTCAATAACATTTACTTTATCTTGACAAAATATTGTTGGTTGCCCGTTGAACAACTTTTAATCTCACATTTGTATAAGGACTTTGACTTACTTACAAATATGCCAGTCCTTAAGATACAATGTCTCCGTGCATTTCTGTTCACCTGTATAAAAAAACTCTAATAATTATTTTTCAATTTATTTATTTTCCTGTAAAATGTGCATAGTCATAAGACATAACAGTAAACTGAAAAAGATTTCACACATCTTAAGGCATTTGAAAGCAGAAACAAAGTATTGTGACTTCCACGATTGTTTCTGACCTAAAAACTGGACTTGAGCTATAACTCACTGATAGTTACATATTTACAGACATTCTAGAATGACATTATATCATTTTATAGAGTGTTCATGTTGACCTACCCCCTGACTTCTTATTCCAATAATCACAAAACTCTTTTAAAGTCATGTCTTGTTTGACTTGACTGCTGTATTCAGCTTGACAGCAATTTGCTACCGGTGCCACAGCATGACCTAGTAAAGGAATACCCAATATTGTTATTATCAATTTTATCATCATTGTCATCATCGTTGTCCTCATCATTGTTACCATTATCATCTTTGACACTGTCATCATTGCCACCATCATCATCATCAACATCAACATCATCATCATCATCATCATCATCATTGATGTCATTACCACAACCACCACAATCAGCATCATCATAGTGATTGCCATCCTGGCTGACCAAGTGGGGACTTTTTTTAACCCTATACTAGCGCTTGAGATCAGAGAGATGGAGAGACCCCTTGGCACAACCCTTCTGCCTCCCCCATCTCAGAACCACTGCCACCCCACCTAACTCGGCCCAAAGCATTGTCCTCAACATGTCATCATGGCCGATTGATCCGAAATTGAAAACTATTCTTTGTTTGCAACCACGTGATAAGGCCGCCATGTTGGGGGTCAATACAAAATAATTTTTGTTTCTCGAAGAATTTACATGAAAATAGAGTTTAATTCCCAGAGGGGAGAATTGCTTTTTTTCTTGACCACCAACATGGCCGCCGTGACGTCACGTGCAAACCAGCACAACATCAAGCAAAGCATGCGCAATTCCAAAAATCTTGAATCTAGGAGTTAGACTTAAATGATTCCGAGCAACGGAAGGGCACCAAGACTTACCGAAGGTCTTTGAAAGGAATTCAAGATTTGGCCTGCCATTTGAGACCCACTCGTTCCGACTTCTCCAATGTCTTGTGAGCTCACTGGAAAATATGCATAGTTGATTTGCCTCCAGATAGCTTCTAAAAAATTCCTCGTACTTTATAGAACCAATACGCTGTATATCATCCATGAAAAATCCCTATGCATCCATGATCCTGTAGGCCTACAGCATAACATCGCAGATCATCACCGTGCGTCGTTCTTGGGCTTCTTGGTAATCATGCTGATCGCAATGCATTTATGAGCCTTCGTTCTTTTTTTACCATGTACGAAGGGTCATATTCAATCATTTTATGCTTCTGCGCATATAATTCACATGATTGCTGCTGTATTATTTTTCTGCATTTGCAGGCTCTTCTTCAGACAATGACGTCACCAAGATGGAAGGATGTCCACGGTCTTTGATGCTAAATGTGGACTTAAAAGAACCTTTTCCTACTGAGTTTACACCTTCTCTAAAAACGGTAAACAAAGACAAGCGTGTTTGCTTTATTCTGAGGCCATTTATGTGGCCAAACAATCTAAACATCGGTTTATTTTCAGTACATTCGAGAACACTATAACGAAGATGCGGACTCCTACAACAACGAATGCTCCCAGCTGGAACAGCTTAGAACCGTAAGATTTTGTTATTTTAATTATTTTTGCTCACTATTTGATCATAAAGTGACTGTTTGTTTGTTTTAGTTATTTGATATAATCTAATCAAATGAAATGTAAAGAAATATGGCAGTTATGAAAGCGAACTATGTGCGGATTCATTACAGTAGTTTTTAGAAGGGAAAGAGTTACGTATTGTCATTCAGCTCCTCTGGCATTCTTTTTGTTGTAGTTTCATGAACAGCAAACCCCTCCCGCGTTTTGGGACAAGCAAAATAATTTATGTATTTTGGGGATCCTTACAAACAAGTATAAGTTGTTACTGACGAATTTAGTTCGTAAATTCCTGTCAATCGTACCCAAAATAACCACGATCTTAAAAAATTAAACAATGTCCGGTCACGTTATTTTAGGAAACTCATGACGTATTCTGAAAAACTCAGGACTCTCGCTTGAGAAACGGACCTAGATCTAGGAGTGACATTTTTGCCCTTTTTAGAAGACTTTATATTTGAGTTCTAGGAAAAATGTTGTTTGTAACGTGTATTATGATATAATTTGAGACTAGAAAAACTCTTACGGTAATTGGTAATTGCTTGTACCTACTTTAAACCAGGAGGTCAAAGGTTGTTTCTCATCAGATTTTTATCTGTTTACAAAATTAAGGGGGTTGAAAATTAAAACAGGATCAATTCTTTGCTCGATAAAAAGTTAATCGTGAATTTAATTGATTTTCATTGTTGTGAGCTACACAGTCAATTATTTTTAAGATAGATACCCTTGGGACAGGTACTAAGTGTCTGTCTCAGAGAGATGTCCCGAGGGGGGGGATTACTACCATATATGGGCTATATTGGTATGTGCAGCTGTGAAGGGTATGTTTTTCAAGCAATTTACTGTGGGATAGGGTATATAAATAAGAGAGTTTTGGGGTCTAAAATAGGGTATCATTTTCCAGGAAACTAATCAATTGGTTGAGACCGGGAATTGCCACTCAAAAGTATAAAAAAATCAAATCGGCAAGTTTGAAATTTCCGCAACTCAGCCTACAGTACTCTATGATAGGGTGAGATTTAGGGAGTTTAGTCTAGTATAGGGTAGCAAAATTCAGCTGAACTAGCTCTGGTATAGGCTAAGGGTTCCAGTGTCCCAGCGGCACATCCCTACACAAAAATTCCCAAAGTACCCCTCCCCCCTGGAGATGTCCGTCTTACAGAGAGTCAAATAAAGGGAGTAAAAAAGGCAGGGACCAATTCTAGGCGTCCATTTTACAGAGGTGTCTGTCTTATAGAGGTGTCCAGCAAGATTAAGTCAACTGCATAACTTTTAATTTCAGCCTCTTATGTTTTATAACTTTTCAGGCCTCCATTCGCCCTTCACGTGACCACTCAGGGTGCAGCACTCTACGGCGGTATTATGCACAGCTGCAATTTCTTCAATCACGGTTTCCTATGGGAGATGGAGGAGCAGTTAATGTCCAGTTTACATGGTCTGTGCTCATCCCTTACATTTGTATACAGAATAAAGAACTTTAAGTAACTATTGCTTACACCATTCTGGTTAACGGTTTCAACAGAATGTTAAATTATTCATTTGTGTTGTGAAAGCATTTGAATGGCATACACTGTATCAGAATTAATATTAGTACACTAGAAGAGATGATACTTGGTCACAAGTTAATGATAACAACAGTAATAAATTATTATCAGTTTTGATGATAGTTGCATTATGATGATGACATTATGGTTCTATAACTATCATTATTATTATTATTATTATTATTATTATTAGTTGTTATTATTGATTATAAAGACAATTTTGAGCATGGTGAATAACAATGTTTGCAAGAATGATGTTGATAATGGCACTTATGATAATTATGGTTTGCATTCAGCGCTGCCAACTGACTAAAAAACCGGCTACTTTGAGGTCTGAGCTGTGGACTTTTGAGGGAAAATGGGTAAAGTAAGGGAGTGAATTACGTCAAGGGCAGTGAAGATAATAGTCACTTATATTATAGACAGTCACAGAGGGCTTGGAAATGCATTGGTTAATTCCTTATATGAAAACTGTATCAATTTTGTTGTTTATACAACTTAATTTCCTTTTTCTTTTAACAGGACTGATCTTTATTCTGAAGAACCAATATCCTTGTGTGACATTAAATTTGAGCAAGCATCAGTTCTTCATAATTTAGGTTGGTTTAATGTTAATTTCTAGATCAAATTTTATGGTTTAGTTTAACAACACTTGAATCAAATTGGTGCAGTAAGGTGAATTCGGCAGAGCTGTATAAATAAATATATATGTTAAAATGTCCTATATAAATGCTATGTAGAGATAGATCATGGAGCACTTCATCAGTGTGTATGTTCTCTCCTCTTTTTGAAAAGCAGTGCTTTTTTTAAGCATCTTTCAAATTGATAGGAAATGATCTGATGAACCAGAAAAGGCCAAGGGCTTAAGTCAACTGAACTGAGACAAGGTCTTAAATCAAAATCACCCGCCAGCATTACCTTACTAATTTTTAACAAGTGTGTTCAGAATTTCCTTATATTGCTATACAAGAATTTGTTTTTCAGTCATTTTCCTGCTTATATGAAAAATATGTTTTCACTCCTGTCCTCTTCCAGTGATCTTCATGGCAACTACATTCTATCACTCAGTAAACCTAAAATAGCAACCTATGGTCTTAACTCCTTTTCTTACTTTTCAGCTAAGCAGTGGAATGCAGTGCCTGACTTTTTTCACACTAGTTTTTTGGCATATTTTTTAAACTAGACTTTTATGTGAAGACTTTCACGTAATGTATATATATGTGGTGTCACCTAGAGCTCGCTAGCTACTCCAAACTTCGAGTGAAAATAAAGTTTTTGTTGTTGTTGTTCAAGAGCCTGATTGGTTTTCTAGCTGGGGCTTAAACCTATGACCTTTTGCTTGACAGAACGGTGCTTATCCAGTTGAACTAAAAATTAATAGGTGAAGTTGGTTAGATCTTCAAATCTCTAGCAGTTACAGAACAATGACACCTAACAAAACAGGCCATAAGGACTAATGCCCAGTACAGTTACATCAGTATAATTGCTGCCCAGAGGACAAAAGATGACAGTGACTGAGATTTGTTTTTTCTCATGGATTTGATATGTTTTCTTACTTTAATCTTCAGCTTCTCTTCACTCCCAGCTTGGTAGCAATGAAGACAGAACTACGGAAGAGGTTTGAGCAAATAATTTGATCTTGGCTTTAATATTATGGTGCTGTCTTTTTTCTATTTGTTTTGATTATAATATCACTGATTATATTGGAGTGGTTTGGTTCTGTATGTTGCGAGTGAGCACTTCTTTTTCAGTTGTTCACTACACTATTTAATGCTTAAGCTAAGAGGATATTTGCTGCTGAAAATAAAATCCTGTTTTAGTTTGTTGCCATACATTCAAATCTTATAATTTTACCTTGGCTTGTGTTTTCATTCTAAAGGGAATGAAAGTGGCTTGTACCCACTTCCAATCTGCTGCTGGCATTTTTCAATTTCTCAAGGTAACACAAGGTTACAGTGTGTATTTTGGTGCTTGATAATTATCCCTTTCATTCTAAGAGTAAAGAGTCTTTTATTTGACCATTCAAATGAAAGCTACTGAACAGTACTTTCCTGTGGTACTGTTTATTATGCTGTACAAGGTGGTTCTAACTTTTGAGTCTGTGGATGAAATCCTAAAGTGTGACCATTCAAATGAAAGCTACTGAGCAGTACTTTCCTGTGGTACTGTCTATTATGCTGTACAAGGTGGTTCTAACTTTTGAGTCTGTGGATGAAATCCTATGGTGTGACCATCCGAATGAAACATCTCCAGCATTACTTTCACAATGTCCTGTTTGTTTTTCAGCATTTTTCAAAGAGAAATTTGGAATTTTTGAAAGGGCTAACTCTTTTTCCCAACTCACTACTCACCTACCCTCTAAATTTCTAGACATATTGTTCAATATTAGTATTCATCATCATCTTGCTCTGTGAAAATTCAAATGTAATGTACAGTTACCGTAACTGAAATAGTAATGGATGGATTAGTGGATTGATATTGTTGTTAAACCACAACCTACATGTTGCTTCCTACACACTGTCTTAATGAATATACTTTTAAAAAATCATTTTGTGCATGTCATATTGCAACTGTTTACAGTAATCACAATCAGTTCATATAAAGTTGTTTAATTATTAAGATATTGAGCACAACTTTTATTGTTGTTATATTTTTAGGCTGGTTCTTTCTGTAAAGTTGAACATTTTATTGTAAGTTCATTGTCATTTTTGTGTGTGCATTATTTGATATAATTATTGTCACCAGTTCCAGTGAATAGCATTGTAGTAATCACTGTTGACAATGTAAGTGGCAGTGCTGTAAATTAACCTTATTACAATCCTGAGCCCAAAACAAAATAATGAAAGGGGCTGGTGAATAAGTTGTAAATGAAGAGGTGTACTTGGAATGAGGTTTCGAGTGAGTCATGATTTAATTAAGAAGTTCTTTCTTAGATTCACAACCATACACAAGGCAAACTGGAAGGAGAATTTAACGATTTGTCATATTTTAATTGGGGCTTTATTCCAGGCATCCTTAAGCTTCTTCAGAAAATTTCCTGTCAGTTTTTTTATTCTTCCACTGATCATCGAATAGGATTTTTATTATTTTAGCCATAATGATGTGGAACCAAAGCTCAGCTGATTCCTGTAGACACTGGTAAAAATTACTCCCTTACATAATACTATTTATAATCTCTTAAAAGTTTATTATTTATTTACCAAAAATATTTCTCTCTAGGATCATTTTGCAAGTGATGCATTTTTTGACATGGCTGGTGGTCTGCTGCAGCTGTACACTAATGTTATGCTGGTAAGCTGATTAAAAATTCATTTTTTTTTTCATGATTGCAAAAAATCACAAAACTAAAATGTTGAGCACTTTTTATGTTGGTCTTGAGATTCTAATGGTTGCAGTTAAGGGCCATTAACTTCTGTCTCATTTTGTAGGGTCAAGCTCAGGAATGTTTACTGGAGAAGTCCATTTTAGATTCCCGCAAGGACTCACTTGTTGCTAGAATCAGTATGCAGGTACATATTTTTGATTGTCTGTTTTAATTTGTTATCAAACAGTAAAATAAATCAAAGATAAGCAACTACAAAAGAGAGCATTTGTTTAATATGCAGACCTTAAATAATTATACTGCTCAAATGTTAGTAATGTTGATAGTCCATCACGTCTTGATTCTCAAGACTCGAGGCTGGATTCTCTATTCTCGAAACTTTCAAGTTTTGAGTCTCAAAAATATCTTGAGAACTGAGACACTAGTTTTGAGTTTCAAGCTTAATCAGTACTAATGATATCATTGATTAACAATCGTACATTTTCACAGGTTTACGAATATTACAACCAGGCTTTACAGTTTCTTGATTCTCAAGGCCCATCATACATGGGGTCCAGGAAAGCCAAGGTGAGGAATGATCACCGCAAAGCGATATGTGATGAACCACGAATTAGTGCTGCCAGCTTGTGCTTGGTTCACCTGAATACAAGCCAGCTGCTGAGACAATTTGTTGAATTCATCAGAATCTACATGTACAAATCATCCATATAAAATATGCAGTCATTATATTTTGTTAGCAACTAAATGCACAAGATTCTAGTATCATTACACACATTTGATTATGTACTTGGTGAGTCCAATAAGCCGTATCAATGTATAACAGATGTGTACATGGTCCCCTGGGTTGTGTGTCTACCTTTCAGTGTCCCTAATGACTGTGGATTAAGGTTCCTATGGTCAAAATCACAGGAAAAAATAACAGATTCCCATTTTTGGGTATTTTAGGGTATTTAAAGAATACCCATAAAAATCCCAAATTTGGCAAAGTGAGACAAGTCCCAACCGAGGAATTCCCAACCAAGTTCCTGGTTGGGACTTGTCTCACTCTTCCAAATTTGGGATTTTTGTGGGTGTTCTTTAAATACCCCAAAATATCCAAAAATGGGAATCTGTTATTTTTTCCTGTGAATGTTATGTGGCCCACTGGGTATTCTTTAAATACCCTAAAATATCCACAAATGGGAATCTGTTTTCCTGTGTTATGTGGCCCACTGGCACCATAAAACATTTTAGTCAAGGGTTATTTTGGGTCTCACATACTGCTGCAAGCCACATGAAGCCGACCAAGGCGACGAAAAAACATTTTTCACTAACAGTATTTTGTTCCAATCACCCATAGCCTGATTCTCAGACATCCAAGGTCATTTGTGGCCCTTTCGCTTTTGCGAAGGGCCCGCGAAAGACCTTGGACATCTGAAAATCCTCCATTGAATAATCACCCTTTTTGTGGCATCTTATTTAAATAAGCTGTACTCTGAGCAGCCTATATTAATTTTATAGCTGATATCAATTTTATTTGATAGTTAATATTAATACATTATACAATTTTATTATTTTAGCTTTGGGCAAAGAGTCTGAAAATCAAGTGTTGTCAGTACCTTGCGGTAGCATATGTAAGTATAATCAAAACCTGCAGTCATTAGCCCCTGTGTAGAGAGATACTGTTTTCTGGAGCTCTTGGTATTCCATACAAGGATTATTTAAATCAATCTGATATATACAATGACAATGTTTAACCAAGGAAAGTACTTAAATTTTCTTGCAGATACACATGTCAAACAATGCAGATGAAAATCAAAAGTTTGGTGAAAAGGTAAAAACTTAACAATTTTTTATGTAATATTATTTAATCAGTATGTACTTCTTTATTCATTGTCTGGTTAAACCTCCACTAATTGGCTCCACATACACATCCAGAAGTGCAAATCCGACCTTGGTTACCCCATGGTAGACACGACTCTTATTACTATTGGTTAGTTCCTTATGACTCTATGTTTAACAGATTTGCTTGTGTTTAGGTGAGGATTAGGACTAGGGGACAATTTGCAATGTCTACCATGAAAAGCATGATTCTCATAAGCATGCATTTTCTGGAAATGACTCTCTACACAACAGCCATTTCTGTACCAGCCAACTCCACTTAATGACAACAGCCTGCTCCTCACTTTCCCAGGGAGACAATGGCTATGCCACGTTGTTAAAACTGGCCTCCAATGACTGCAATACTTTCAATGCTCAATAATGGTAATAAAAGCCATCCTGCAATGGGTCTGCCAAACCTTACACTGTGAGCAGAGGTTTCTCTCTTTTATGGCTTTTAGCGTTTGTGAAGTCGTTCGCGTGGCTTGACAGTCTATCGCATAGTTAGTTTGTTTACGGCCCGTGAAGGTGCATAAAACAAACCAGCTATGCGACTGACAAGCGATGCAAACGACTTCATCAATACTGAAAGCCATGCAAGAGAGAAAACCTCTGCTCGAAGAGTAACCAAACCTGTTTTCATGAAAATTACCAGTATCACTCTCTTTTCGCTAGGTGGCATACTTAAAAGCTGCATCACAAAAGATAACAGAAGCTCAAAAGGCGTCTAAGGTACCCAGCAAGTTTTTGCTCTTGTCTTTATTCAGATTTTTTATTAAAAAGACAGGTTCTTATATTATTATAACGTGTATGGGAAAAAGCACACTGAAAATGTAGGCCTAAGATTACCGGACTTTCTGGAATAGAGGTGTGAGGAACTAGAGCCCCAGATGGAAAGCAAATGGAAAAATTGACCATTGACCCTACATAATATTAAATCCTGAGATTACAGCTGAAATTAATCTTACCAGACACCAAAGTACATATCATGGAGTGCCACCCCAATTCCCACCTCCCACCCAATTCAAGTTGGGATAAAGTAAATTCACTTTTGCTGAGTTTGAAACCAAAGCTGTTACAGTTACTAGCCATATTGTGTGTTTCACTGCACATTGCATTACATTATATTGGTTGTTCAGTTGTTGGTTTTTCTTTATCCAAAGGGCCAGCCTGAAAGAACGCTGGAGTTGTTGCAGTTCCTTATCGATGTTGTAAGCAACAAGTGAGTCTTCAATGCTATTTCTACAGACTGTCCGGTGCTTATTGCAGCTATACTTTGTCCTTTTGACTCAGAGGTCATCATTAGCTCCAAACTGGTTTTAAAATAAGCTCTTTTCACCTTTTTATTTTGTTGTCTATACCTTTCACATACCTTTCACTCTCTGGTATATTACTAATAATTACAAAAAATGAATAATTGGATAATGCAGTTCTAGAGCTCTTATTGGCTTAGCCATCATGGTATTTGAGTCATTATACCTATGCTATCCAAATATGGTAACTGTACGCATCTGCTCAAAATTTTATTGGTTGTTTTTACAAATAAAGTCAGGAAGAATTCTCGATATTTTGTGGGCATTTTTAATAAAACAATTATTCCTGTTGGATATCCAACACACACTCATATTAATTGTTAAATATCATATGACCCATCATTAATTTTGTAGATTGCAAGGTGCTGTGAAGGACAACTATTCCATTTACCATGAAGTTATTCCAGTTATTCCACTCATGCTTGTTGGATATGAGGTGGTTACAGCCAACTTAGCACTATGCGTCTCATTGGCTATCTACTGTCTCATATCCAACACGCACTCGTGGAATAATTATTACTGTTAGATATAATGTGACCCATTGTTTGTAGATTGCAAGGTGCTGTGAAGGACAACGATTTCATTTACCATGAAGTTGTACCTGAACTGGACAGTTTGCCAGAAATAAAAGGTATGCAATAATAATATTACCATGGTTACCTTCGGCAGTGTTAATTATAGCACAAAGGCTAGTAATGTTGGACACATGAATAAAGCAATGATTAGTCATGCTGCTAAGCAGTGTTATTTCTAGCGTAACCTTTTAGAGATTCCAGTGCAAGTCACAGACGTTGTTTTTAGAGATCCCCAGTGTCCCTCTCCGAGTTTCTGTACCTTTCCAAGAGACATCTTTTGACATACAGTGTAGAACCACTCAGTACTACCACTAGGAGAAAAAAAACTTGAATTCCCGCTTGTCCTTTGGGCAAGCAGCATCTTAGTTCATGATTTTGCTTGTCCTGTTAATGATTGGAGGTGACCCATGGGAGATTGCTATGGTTACCCCCCTTTAAGTGCAAAATTGCCGACGATCACTTGCTTATTACCTGCATTGCTCATAATTGGCACCTACCCTCTATTTGAATATTGCCTATTGGCAAGTTAATGTTAGAGGATGGGTTGGCGAGACCCTTACCCACTGCGCAAGTATCTTTTAAAAGTTACGTGCCCAGCATGAAAATCTACTTTTCCCATACTACCGTATGGGACCCTTTTGAGCCCCGAATACATTAATAAACTCGTGTTGTTTCTGATTTTTTTTTGGACAGCCGCACCTCTCGTTAAACCAATCCCATTCCAGCCATTTGACTCCTCAGTCTCCGGACCTGACATTTTTCAGAGGCTAATTCCAATGGGTGCACACGCAGATTCCTCTCTGTACAGGTTAGAAGTCTGGACCAACTCTTCTAGTACCAGTTTCTGGCTTTTTTTCCAGGGACCATGAAGTCATGCTTGTTTTAATTTTAAACAATTTATTTATTATTGGTTGCTGTTTTTGTGACATCCAAAATAATCAGTCAAACACATCGTCGCATGGAACACAGTTTGACATTGCTCTTAGAAATCATGCATTGTGATTGTAACCTACTGCTTAGTCAGTTATTTGCTAGCAGATTACTAACTAATCTGTAGGTTTCACTGATTTCCAGAAGTAACTGTACGCTCTTAACCAATAAGCAGAGGGATTGTGGGTACAATGTATAATTAGACTGGTAACCAGACCTCTGCCCAGTTAGGATAAGCACTGGTCAGCTTAGCAGTAGGTCACGGGTTCGAACCCTGGCTGGACCAACACTCAGGGTGTTAAAATGGGGTAACTGCGGAAAACGTGCTGCCTTTGTTGTTACATGTTCAAATGGTTAGACATTCTAGTCTTCTGGGATAAGGACGAAAAAACGGTAGGCTCCGTTTCACAGCTCTTTCACTGTCTGATTCTTGCAGGATGTAAAAGAACCCGCACTGCTGTTCATAAAAAGTAGGGGAAGGAGACCCAGGTGGTATGGTGCAACCTTTCATGGGCTGTGGGGGTAATGAAGGGGTTGATATCAATTGGAATGTTAATCCTGTTTCATCCCCTGTCACCGTGTTCAGTCACTGTGGTGAATTCAATAAAGTGATTATTATATGAGTTGTCATTAAAGTTTTTAATGCAAAACCTCACCCAGTGGACTTTTCTTATTTCTCAGCGAAGAAAAAGCAAAGCTACTCAGGAGATATGTTGGTTCTATTGAGCAGAAAAATCAGCTGTTGAGGTGAGGGATTGATGGTGTATTCTGGATTACATTTAAGGTTAAAATCCATCTCAGGAAAAACCAATTTTTTTTCTCTCATATGAATAAGTAGGTAAGGTTAGGAAAGACAGGAAATTCTAAATCAAACTAGGTTGAATACTTGTTTAACCTGAGATGGATTTTACCTACAGCATACACACATGATAATTTGTTTGGACAAATGGTTTGATAATCCTAACAGAAAGTGCTTAAAAGTGACATACAATAAAGACTTTGACTGTTCTATTTTTTCATTACCATCTAGCAAAGCATTGAGTGATTTACACATTGATGACTTGCTGGAACCAGAAGGATATGACACTCTTCCAGGTTTGTTTCTTCCGTACTTGTGTATGTATACCCCAAAGGCCCTTTCCACTCAAAAGGGTGATTAGAAACATTAGGAGAAAGCTTACCAACTTTTGGAAGAGGGCCACCACTCTTCCACGAAAATGATAAAAATACTTTGCAAGACTAGTGATTTTGTTAACATATTTTGACAATATTTATTAACTTTTCAAAGACCACTAATGTGAAGGAAATGATGGAGAAAAATAAATACCGTAAATCCTCTATTAACCGCCTTCCTCCCACCCCATGAAGGGGCTTATTTGTTTCAAGCATGTTTGAGAAGGTGCTTATTTAATTTAGCAAAGATGATAGTATCAATTCTTTGTAAAAACTAGGATGCAAGCTCAGGTACAGGAAGTTGAAGGTCATACTGCGGAAGATCCAAAACAAATCCGAACTCCCAGCACATGACTTAATCATACCAGATCAGTCCACATGAAGTGATTCATTTGTGATTGATTAATAAAGTATATCATTTAAAAATGAAAGGGGAGGGGAAGTTGGGGCTTAAAAGAGAGGGGGAGCTCTGCTTAATAACTTTCTTCCTTAGAAAAGGGGGATTACTTTAGAGCGGGGCTTAACAGAGGATTTATGGTAGCCTTGGTTTTTAAACATTTTCTTCTCATAAGTATAACAAATAATATGAAGAACAGCACTTGCAGAGAATACAACCTGCTGGCAGGTAAGAGGGAAAGCTTCCTTTCTGTCTTTGTGTACTCCACTGATTTGTTGTAACAATGTTCTCTCCCAGCTGGTATCCTACAGAAAAGGAATTCTCTCATAAATGATGGAACTTTGAAAGATGTTGAAAGCAATGTAGAAGGTGGGTTTGCAACCTCATCCCCAGGCTCCTCTCTCTCTTGCTCCATGGGACGAGAGAGGGGCCTGGGAATGAAGTTAGGTGAGTTTGTTGCAACTTGATACTCATTAGTAGCTGTACTACTGAAGAAAACTAAATTTACTCTATAACTGGTGTTGTTATTCATAGAGCTTACAAAGGTTGGCACAAGGGTGGAAGAAATGGTGGCTGCTATTACAACAATACTTGAAGAAGACAAGAAAAGAGAAAAAGAAATACAGGTTTGATAAATAATTAAGGTTTCTAAAAAAAATTGAACACCTTTTATACATAAAGGCGCGAGCATTTTCAACTTAGGACTCCTTGTCTTTTTGAACTGAGACTCATTGGTTATGGACAGGGACTCATGATTTTTCAAAAGAGGAGTCTCAGGACTCAGCATAACTATAGTCAACTCTTTCTAAGATGGACACCTTTGGGACCGGTACTAAGTGTCCATCTTAGAGGGATGTCTGTCTTATAAAGAGTCAAATAAAAGGAGTAAAGAAAGGCAGGGACCAACTCTAGGCGTCCATTTTACAGAGGTGTCCGTCTTATAGAGGTGTCCGTTAAGAGAGAGTCAACTTTATTTGTAAAACAGTCACTGCCTAATGTTTACAGGCTCTCCTTTACCCAGGTAAACTCTCTTAACTTTTTTTTCAACTTTTAAATCTGTGGACAAAATCCTATCTACTTGCTATTCAAATGAAACCTCTCTGACCGCACTTTTGCACAGTACTATTTACAATTTTGCAAAAAGAAATTTGAATTTTTTGGTCTGCATTTCACTCTTCGGCCATTAATAAGAGTGAAAGGGTTGTTGTTATTTTTTTTATTGTTTTTGTGTAGGAATTAGTTCCTTCCATCACCCCTCCTCCAGAGAGGGAAGAATTTGAAAAGGAGCTTGAACAGTGTCGAGAAACACACAAGAAAGCAGTAAGTCAAATATTAACCCTTTTAGTCACAATATCAACATAAAAATTCTCCAAACTGATCTCCATACATTTCCTTTAAGAATTAGTTGGGAGCATTTAATAACAGATCAAGGCATTTTCTCTTCGGTGGTCATTTATTAATTCCCATAACCCTATCTCTGGACAAAGTATGGATATTGTTAGGAGAAAATTGTTGTTGGTCACTATTGGAACTTAAAGGGTTAATGCTGATTATTTCTAAGTTGTTCTATCAGTCAAGTCTGTGAACAAAATCCTGTCTATCTCTGGATGTGGACCCCGCCCCCTCCCCCTTCATCCTCAACCTTATTTCCCAACTTTTAAGTAACTGCCAGGCACGTTAAGCCAATCGCAAAATCTTTGAAAGGATGAAAGTCAGTTCAATTTTTCAGTAACATTTTCATTGGCGTCACCATCAGATTGTAGGATCCATAGTGTTTCTTAAGACAATTTGACCATAATATTTTCTTGCAGATGCAGACAAACACAGAACTGGTGAAGGTTTTCCAGGAACACAAGCACAACCTGGACTTGTTAGTAGGACCGTCCGAGGGACTGCTCGCTGCCCTGCCTTCCTTGAATATCATAGACAGTAAGTTAACTGCACCCTGTGATTTTCCAAATGTAGATATTGTAAAATGCTGAAAGCATGTAGCACCATGTGCAAGTACTACCAAAGAGGTTTGATTTGAATGGTCACACCATAAGATTTTGTCCACAGACTTAAAAGTTAGAACCACCTTGTACAGCATAACAAACAGTACCACAGGAAAGTACTGCTCAGTAGCTTTCATTTGAATGGTCACACTATAGGATTTCATCCACAGACTCCAAAGTTAGAACCACCTTGTACGGCATAATAAACAGTACCACAGGAAAGTACTGCTCAGTAGCTTTCATTTGAATGGTCACACTATAGGATTTCATCCACAGACTTAAAAGTTAGAACCACCTTGTACAGCATAATAAACAGTACCACAGGAAAGTACTGCTCAGTAGCTTTCATTTGAATGGTCACACCATAAGATTTTGTCCACAGACTCAAAAGTTAGAATCACCTCACAAGACTCCATCATTCATAACACATTTACACCCACTTTCAATTTTGGCCCCCTGGAAGAGGATTCTATCTTTGGAGTCTGTGGAAAAAAAAAACTCTATGATGTGACCATTTAAATGAAACCTTCACTTGGTCCTCTTTGTTTTCAATATTCTACAAAGTTCATTATTATTATTATTATTAGCGCAAGCCAGAATTTGTATAGGTAATAGCATGATTTGCAGTGATATTTGCGATAAATACCACGAGTGATATTCCGAAATTGCTATACGTAATTTCACGAGCCGTTAGGGGAGTGAAATTTGAGACAATTTTGAAATATCACAAGTGGTATTTATGCCAAATAGCACGTACAAATCATGCTATTATTTGTTTATACTACTACCCACAAAAGGTTTGTAATTTTCACATGTAGGTATTTCAAATTAAGCTGAAATATCACTGCTCTAAGCCAATCAAATTGCAGAAATTTCTCATGTAGTAGTATAAAAGTAGTAATTTTTTATCAGTTTGAATTATTTTTAGATAGTTTTTATTTTTTTATTTAACTTTTTGATGCTTTTTATAATTGTTATTAGCAGTTTTTAGATGGTCATTTTACGACAATTCTCTTTCGTACACAAGAAGAATGTACATAGGGTATATATTTTCATATTCATATTCTTGAATCTGTAAATAGTCTATTTTTTTGAATCTATGAATAAAGTTTATTTTATTTTATTATTATTATTATTATTATTATTATTATTATTATTATTATTATGAAAGGGTATATTCAGGTACTTTAGGGTAGAGTGGGTTGGGAATGGGAGGTATAGTGACTCAGCATGAGGGAGAATATGAGCTACCCTCCCCTCCTACCCTTGATCACAGCCGAACTTGTACACAGTCTTGGTCGGTTGTTTTTAGTACTTTTATTGGGTGCTGATTGCATGCTAAGGAAGAATATTATTACTCAAGAACATCAGGTTGAACCAGTATTTAAGCATATTAAAAAAATGAGAAATGAGAGCACTGCCTTAGCTCTGCAAAGAGTCAGGTCTTTTGCATGGCTTATTAACTTCGTGAATTGTTTCTTGTACTGTTGTACATTGACTTACTAAACTTGATTGTTATTGTTAATTTGTGTCTTTAGCTCCCATTGATGATGGTGCTGTGCAGCGTCTTAGGGACCTCATAGTAAGCTTATGATCAAAAATTTTTAATTGTTAATTTTTTGTTTTTTCTCTGAGTGCAAAGATGAACCAACAGGACGACAAAACATTTTTATTTATTGTTTTGTTTTTATTTCCAGTCTAAAGTTGAGCTAATGAAGTCACAGAGGAAGCAGCTGGAAGCAGATTTAAGGAAACAGGTTAGCCTTGCTCAAATTGTCAGAATATAAAGGCCAATTTTCATGGAGTTGAATTTTTAACGAATGCATCCAAGTTCAAAAAGACAAAGGAAAATTCTTTCTCGTTTGTTTACTTACTCTATAAAACTTCCCACTGTGCAATGGACATCTAAGAAGAGTGATGTGTGAACAAAATTGTTGTTTTGCTCATAAAACCAATAGTTTGTGGACGTTCTTGTCGCCTTGTCGTTGTGGTTGTTAGCTCTCTCTTGTGATCTGAATGAAACCAGAAATATGTACCTGAACATTGTTTTGTTTTGATAAGGGTTATACGTAAACCAGCCAAGAGATGAACGCATTTGACACCTTTTTTTGAATCTTTCTAGTTGGAAGAGGATGACATTACACAGCTACTTGTGACAAGAGAAGGGAACAAAACGGTATATTTCTTAGTTGTTCTAGTTAAAGTCGAACCTCCATGTGCGACCACCTCCCATAAGCGACCTCTTATCCAAAACACCAAACATTTTCCAGTAAAAGCCTTACAGCTGGAATCCGTCATAAATGACCACCTTCTGTGAGCAAATGCGACCCCTGTTTGGGGCTGAAGGTTTTAGAATTTTCTATTGTTTTTTACCCTTTATAAGCGACTACTTGACGCATGGTCTGATCTCTATGGTCTCTGTACTGATGTGCAATGCCTGTCAGAGTAGAAGAACTACTAGTGACTACGTGGAGCTATACATATCATAACTTAGATATTCTATGCAACAAATTATCTTCTACAAAGTATATTAGTGCGGACCACATCTCAGAAAAGACCCCCTGTGGTTCGATTCTGGTAAGCAACCACTTTCTGTAAACGACCACTAAGTCCTCAAATTTTCAGTGGTCTCATACGGGACGTTTGACGTCCTAAAGCCATGGCACAGCTTTTTGTGAATGAAAAGTTGTCTTGGAACTGTCCTGTTATCAGAACTATGGAAATCATGTAACTCGTGATAACTGGTTTCAAAATTATTTGGCATTAGTTTTATTTTGACTTAAGTAGGAGGAATCTGACAGACTACTAACAAGTCTAGAGTTGATGCAGTAATGATATCATTAAAGTTTTATTGTCAGTTGCACTCATTAACACGGTTGTGTGATTATTTTTCAGCTTTTTTTTGAAGAACAACTTAAAAAGCATGACGCAACTTGTGATCTGATTCAGAAAAACTTAGATGCTCAGAGCAAAATATTAAAGTGGGTAACAACGACTTGAATACCTTGTCATTACTTTGAGTTGTTTTTTCTTGTAAGCAATTGTGCATGCATGGTAACTTTCATTCACCGATACTTAGTTTTCCAAGATTTGTGATTACTATTTATGTTGTGTTCATAAATGCAATGGTCTTTTTTCCATTGAATCTTTATTGTGCCGTACAAATAAATGCATTTCAAATATTCTCTTTTATGCAGTTATTCTGATTTCATAAGGTATCAGGTCGTTTCGCCCGAAGGTCGATTCGCCCGATAACACTTCGCGTCCGAAGCGTATTTGTCATTCTTTAAGCCTGAAAAAGATGAATAAGAATGTAAAGACAGTGGCCGCACATGTTGAATCCAAAGGTTACTAAAATAACATCTCGAAAGGTATGTTCACCATGTTGTAGTGTTGTATGTCATCGGGCGAATCGACTAATGTCCTGGGGAACGCAGTCAGGCGAATTGACTTTCCGGCGAAATGACCGCAATTCATTCATAATGACTTTATTACGAATCCAGAGAGTAGCCAACACCTGGGGTGCCTTCCATTATGCCAAACCGACTGGTCGTAAATCAAAGGAACTAACCAAAGAAATAGAACGGTATTGTTCGATTGGGGCAAAGTTTGCAAGAAGATCGAAGAGTTCCATTTACGTTTTAACCAAAATTTTAATTACGTCTCAGCGAACTGGCACTGCAAACGAGATTTTTGCAGATGGAACGGTAATTTTACGTCGAACCGCACCAACCTGTCAAAGAGGGCCAGCTCTCGAGGTGGACCGCTTTGACGGGAAAATTTCAATGCGGAAATGGAAAGCGTTCCATTTTTTTCTCGACCGAATTATCCGAAAATTTTGGCATAATGGAAAGCACCCCTATTTAGGTAGTTGTTGTTTGCCCCTCATAAGGAAGTCTTCACATTTTCTCCTAGAGCATTGACGGAGGCAAATGCTAAATATGCACCCACAAGACAAGCTGTGAAGGAAACTGCACAAAGGTGAGTAATTTACCACTAGCGGAATCGGCCATTGCAGGTTTTTCGTGGTAATGTGGGAAGCTATTAGATTGCCTGTGGGTATTGTTTGGGTCCTTTTAATGTTTTATATTTCGTCCTCTGGTAATTACACGTTCCTCAATACTAGGACTGACAAACGCCATTGCTGGCCTCCAAAAAAGACATCCTGTTCTGGTGCAATGTATACTTTCAAGGATTCCTGCTATCTTCTACTGTCTCTGCCTTCTTTGAAAACCACTCACTGACATGAGAGGGAAATGAGGTACCTCTCCAGAGAGGCACCTTATTTGACACAACTACAGCCTACATACGTACTTATTTGGAGTAATCATTTGTGACTTCACTTGAAAGAACATTGTATCTGTTACGGGTCAAATTTGATGTCAGGTTAATTTTGATTTAACCTAGGTTGATTCTCAATTGCACTTGTCCTCTAGCCATAGTAGACAAAGGAAATCAAGAATCAACCCAGGTTAAAAATGTTTAACCTGATAATACATTTGACCTGTAACATATCCAAGTGTCAATCTATTTAGTACTAATTGAGGTCGGATGACCTATCAGTCAGAGGCCGGAAAATGTCACTTCTTGCTGTCTGACAAAGCGTTGTGATTTTCATTTTCCAGACGAGATGATGCCGTACAGACGTTTGTTTTATCTCATGATACGTTTTTTGGACTGAAAGAAAAATTAAGGTAAGTGTTAACTTTTTATGACAGGTAATTGGTAATTAAATGCCCGTCTAGTCTAAAACATTCNTTTTTCGTGGTAATGTGGGAAGCTATTAGATTGCCTGTGGGTATTGTTTGGGTCCTTTTAATGTTTTATATTTCGTCCTCTGGTAATTACACGTTCCTCAATACTAGGACTGACAAACGCCATTGCTGGCCTCCAAAAAAGACATCCTGTTCTGGTGCAATGTATACTTTCAAGGATTCCTGCTATCTTCTACTGTCTCTGCCTTCTTTGAAAACCACTCACTGACATGAGAGGGAAATGAGGTACCTCTCCAGAGAGGCACCTTATTTGACACAACTACAGCCTACATACGTACTTATTTGGAGTAATCATTTGTGACTTCACTTGAAAGAACATTGTATCTGTTACGGGTCAAATTTGATGTCAGGTTAATTTTGATTTAACCTAGGTTGATTCTCAATTACACTTGTCCTCTAGCCATAGTAGACAAAGGAAATCAAGAATCAACCCAGGTTAAAAATGTTTAACCTGATAATACATTTGTCCTGTAACATATCCAAGTGTCAATCTATTTAGTACTAATTGAGGTCGGATCGCTTATTAGTCAAAGGCCGGAAGATGTCACTTCTTGCTGTCTGACAAAGCGTTGTTATTTTCATTTTCCAGACGAGATGATGCCGTACAGACGTTTGTTTTATCTTATGATACGTTTTTTGGACTGAAAGAAAAATTAGGGTAAGTATTAACTTTCTTTGACAAGTAATTGAGCCGAAACTTAGCAGTAATGCCCGTCTAGTCTAAAACATTCTGACTTAATGTTTGCCCGATTTGTCTCTTCCTTTGCATGGGTCAGCCGTGGACTGCGATTCTATCAGAGCCTGGAAAAGGCAGTATTGAAACTTGAAGAGAAACTCAAAGAATTTGCTGAAAAGCGAAAGAAGGAAATGGATAAGATTGAAGAGAAGGAGAAACGAATCAAAGGTGACATGCAAATCCGTAAACTTCATTGTTAAATTTTCCTCCGTATTTTTGTTTTCTTTTTTGTTTGTTTTGCGTTTGTTTACTAGTATTACTGTGGAACTTCGATATAACGAACCTCTATATGACGAAGTCCTCGGTATAACCAACGATTTTCTTTATCCCAGTAATAGTCAAACGCATGGAAAAGAACCTTGATATAACGATACCTCGTTATAGTGAACATATTTCGCAAGTCCCTTGGCCCTTCGTTATATCGAGGTTCCATTGTATATGAGTAGAATCAACAAATGCATTGAATGAAAGTTAATGATTACAGTTATAATGTTCTTTTATCCCTTGAAAACAACAGGTGGTATCTGTTGACAATTAACTAGATGCCTGTCCTTTGCTTATCTGCAGAGAAAGCCAAGGTACCACCTGCACGACCCGGGGCTGAAAAACCAAGTCACCTAATTAACCCACCAGGATCCAGTGTACCTCGTCCAATGGCCACACAGTATCTTGGGGGACCAGGGATACCTCACCCAGGCATGAGACCAGGCACCTTCCCGCCTACTTCACATGGAGTACCTTTGCAGCCTAGAATTCCTGGAGCAGCATTTCCGCCCAGATCTTTTCCTGGAGCCAGCTCTCCTCGCCCAGCAGATCCGAGGGTCTACCAACCTGGTTCTCAAGGAGTCTGTCCCAGACTACCTGTCCCTTCTGGTGAACAGAGGATGCAAGCACCCCAGCCTGGAGTTCCACTGCAGCATCAGCAGAATTTTCCAGAACAAAGGGTCCCTCAGGCACCGAACTCACCAGCTACTGGGCCACCTATTCGTCCTACCATCCCTTCTCAACCGGGAGTTCCGTTCTCTCAGATGGGTCCCAGAGGGCCTGCACCTGCTGAGCATCTTATTCATTCCACACCAAGGATGTCTTACCCCGTACCACTGACTCCCTCCTTTCCGCCAGGAGGCGCACAAGGAGTTCAACCTGGTGGGCCAGGAGGGCCTTTCCAAGTGCCTCACCCTTCTGGGCAGCAACCCCGTCCACAGCTGGCACCTGGACAGGTACCGGGACCTGGAAGTGCTCCAGGTCTTCCATCTTATGATCTAGCTAAACGTATGCCTGGAACTCAGCCCTCTATACAACAACCACCTCCACAAAACTGGTCACAAGGGCAATATCCGGCCACATCACAACAGCAAGCAGCAGGCCATCCGTCAGGTATCACTCCTCAACAGCAGTTTCAGGCCCCAAGGGGGCCATATCCTACGTCACAACCTCCGCATATTAGTCCGGCAGGGTCACCTCAGGTGTTTCCTAAGCAAATTCCCACCAGTCAAATGTCACAACCTTTGCAGCCTGCAACCAGTCAGTACCAGCCAAAGAACTGGTCAACTCAGCCATTTCATTTTCCAAAACTGGCTCAACAACCCATGCAGCCCCAGCAACAGTTTCAACAAATACAGCAGCCTTATCAGAGACAACAACAGCCACCTCATCAAGTCCAGCTGCAACCACAACCTCTGCATCCTCAGCAGCAGACATCTGTCAATCCCCAGCAGCAACCACCTGCCCGTCCTCCACCACAGCAGCAACACCCTCTTCATCCCATGCAACAGCAACCACCCCATCCCCAACAGCAATTCCAGCAACCGCAGTTTCCACCACCTCTTCAGCCTCAAAAAGTACCACCGCCTCCATCTCATATGCAACAGCAGTTTCAGCACGGGCCACCATCTCAACCACAACAGAAGCCCCAGCAACCTCCTTATTTCCAGCAACAACAGCATCCATCACAACCTCCACAGCAGTCACAACAGCCCATGCAGCAGTTTCAACAACCCGTTCAGATGAATCCACAATTTAATCAGCCTCAGCAACAAATTCAACATTCTAGAGAACCACTAAAACCGACTCAGGTCCCACAGCCAAAACAGCAACAACAACAGCAACAGTTTCAGCCACCATTACCGCCCCAGCTCAATTACCAACAACAGTTGCAACCAATGCAACCTCAAAAGACTCAGCAACAACCGTACAAACCACCTCTGCAACCACAGCCTCTTTCTATGCAGAAACCTCTGCCAGACTATCAAATTCCAACTGATCGTCTTCCCCAACAGGCATTCCAGCCTGGGAAAACACCCCCACAAAATGCACAGGGTCCCCTTGGTTCTCAGATGCCTCAACAAATTAGTCAGGTACCAGAATTGCCTCCTAAGGGTCGGTCCCAGATGAATCAGATGCCTGGTTCAACCTCGTGGCCGCATCAAAGCCCTAATCTTTCTTCACAGCCACCACAGATGGGATATCCTAGTCAGAAGTCGTATGCAGGTTATAGTCAGAGTCAGCAGCCATCACAGACCAGCAATACTTCATCACAGTTAGGGTATCCAATGCTACCTGAGAAAAAACGTTCTCAGGCTGATTCCCCATCGTCAAAACCTCCTCAGGAAGGATTCCCATCTCAGCATCCAGGAAGTTTACAACCCGCTCCGCCTTCCTCGCTCCAGAGTTGGGGGTACCCCCAAGTGTCACAGCCTTTGCCTTCAACTGGAGCTTCCCAAGGCAATCAGTTCGCACGTCAAGATTCAAAAGAAGCACAGCGCTTAGGAGGAAACCAAATGCTTAGTCCTAAGAAATCACTCCCTTACGAGCAGAGACCCGTAGATCAGGGATGGGCCCCATCTGCTAGTGTTCAACGACCTCCACCTCCAAACCAGGCAGCATATTCACCAGTTATTGCTCGACAGAATTCTGCTGATTATGGTAAAGACAGCCAGTACCAAGGGCAGACTAGAGGTCGTGTTGGATCATACCCTCCGTACACTGGGATTGTAACTAAACCTCCTTCCTCACCAGTTGCGGGCAACCCACCTTATAGCTATAGTGCAGTGTCCGTGACACGTCCTTTGGTTCAAGGGGTCAGGCCCAGCCCTACCAGCCTGCCACCTTCTTCAGCCTATGCTACTAGTTACTCGGTATCAGTAGCTCAAGCGCAGTTGAACCAGCAGCAGCAAATGCAGCAGCTGCAGACTCAGATGCTTCTGCAACAGCAGCAGCTTATCTTACAGCAACAGGAGCTACTGCGCCAACAGCAACAACAACAGCATCACGAGTCTGATCAAGGCCACCTCACACAGCTTTTCCAGCAGATGCTACAGCAGCAGACAAAGCTGGCTGAGATGGAGCAGAAACTGGCAGAACACGAGCGTCACGAAGAAAATCTCAAAAAGGAACTTACAAAGACGGATCATGAGGAGCTGGCACCCACTGAAAGGGACCCAGAATCAACTGATAATGAGGCGCAAGCTACAACGCCTCAGAGCTCTAGTAGTTTCAGTGCCTCTAGGAGCACTGGTTTTTCGGACCATACCCATAACAAACTCGACATAGAGCAAGTCTTTAATGACCTCGCAAAAAAGCAAATTAGCGAAATTTCTGAGAAGGGTAAACTTGCTGATGGAGCAAGCGACCGCTCTAAGCCTGATGTTGAAACAGAGAGTGACAATGATGTGTCTAAAAAGGATTCTGATACTTCGGAGCATTCAGAAAAAGAAATAGTGGGCGACAAAAAGACCGAAGTAAAAAGTGTGTCTACGGATGAGCTTACTAAAGGTGTTGATGATCATGGGACTGAAGAAGTAATCAACACCGAACAGGGGAGTGTCTCCCTCGGCGAAGAAACGAATGATAAGAGCAATTCTTCGTCAAATACTGAACAGAAAAGTGAAAAATCTGAAGTGGATTCATCGTCTTCGGCTGAAGATAAACCGGACCGTGAATCTCTAAAGAGAGAAAATATATCAGATGAGGACAAAGAAAAGCAAAGACGTCAACAAATCGCAGAACAGATCCAGCAGATTAAAGAACTTCAAAAGAATACACAACCTGCCCCTCCTCCGCTTCCTCAAAAGAAGAAATACCTGTACGAACCGGGCAAAATGCCAGAGACTTATGAGCTTCCACTCAAACCTCCCGACAGGGTTACAGCTGAAGAGCCGAATAAGCCCTCACTGTACAGACAGTGTGGCCATTACTATGATACACAGCAGTCTCGCATTGGTCAAGCAGAGAACAATGATTGTCTTAGTGAAGAGGAGTATATACACAGGCTGTCATTCACTGTGGAGACCTTTGATGCTCTGGTTGTGAACTTGTCTCAGAAGAAAGAAGGTACCACCTACAGTGGCTTCATACATGAGTGGAAGGTAGGTAGCTGATGTCACATATCAAACACGAGAGGGAGTGTTTCATCTGATATCCAACACCGAGAAGTGGATTGACAAGTGAGGCAATGTAGAGTTTTGAAAGACCCTTTGAAGGCGTTCATTTGGGCGGAGTGTATATCAAAGACAGAAAAAACTTGAGAGTTACAAAAGCGTTTTGACCTTCGATGGTTGTCGCCCGCACTCTGTAACCTTTGGTTATTGCTAGTTTTATTTCTTTTAAAGTTGTTCCACACGGTCATGAACAACCTTGGAATTTTCGCTGCAAAAAGGAGTGCGAAGCATGCAGCGTCTGACTTTGGCTAATGATTAACGTTCATCCTTTTCTTGATTTTTGTCTTTTTTCATTTCCAGGCACTGGAAAAGATGCAAGAAAGTGACTCATGTGTTTTCTCCACTAAAGATGCCAGTCTCAATCCGTCGAAGAACAGATACAGAGATGTCTTGCCCTGTANTCATGAACAACCTTGGAATTTTCGCTGCAAAAAGGAGTGCGAAGCATGCAGCGTCTGACTTTGGCTAATGATTAACGTTCATCCTTTTCTTGATTTTTGTCTTTTTTCATTTCCAGGCACTGGAAAAGATGCAAGAAAGTGACTCATGTGTTTTCTCCACTAAAGATGCCAGTCTCAATCCGTCGAAGAACAGATACAGAGATGTCTTGCCCTGTAACTATTTACCTCTTTGTTTGTTTCTATATTTAAAGTTGAAGTTTGATAGATGTAAGATCAATTTGTTACTTAATGAGCAAAGGTTTAGTTATACAGAAACAATAACGCGGATAAGAACGAACGACGTTTCGGTGTCATCTTGACGCCATTTTCAAGTTCAAATGATCGCTGATAAAACTGACAAAAATTTCTTTGGCTGATGATTAGCATATATGAAATATGCAAAGTCACGCAAAAATTTTGTTGCTTCAAACGCTTATTCAACACTTTACATTTTTAGGCTGTTATCTCTTTATCAGCAACTTCTCCTTATTCATAATAACTCCTTCTTTCTCTCTTCAGGGGATCATACGCGAGTCAAGCTAACGACAAAGGAGGGAGGGGACTATATTAACGCCAACTTAATAAAGGTAAGAGAGAAACTTGAGCACTCGTTCTTGACTAACAGTAATTTTCTCTCCGCAATTGCGCTGGGATGACAAGTCCTTGTAAAATGACTAAAGAACTTAAAAAGACTTGCTTCCTAACTCGTCTGCCATAAATTAGAGAGGCCTAGATACAGATATAGCATCACTGAAATATTTACCTTTTCGCTCTCAAAAATGGCTCACATCAAATTTCAACAGTTTTTTTTCAATTTCCATTTTTTCAAATGCTGAAAAACAGATATTACCGTGTAAAAGTACTAACAAAGAGGTTTCATTTGAATGGTGACACTTTAGGATTTCATTCTCAAACTCAAAAGTTAGAACAACAGTCTACAGCATAATAAACGGTACCATGGGAAAGTACTGCTCAGTAGCTTTCATTTGAATGGTCACACTATAGGATTTCATCCACAGACTCAAAAGTTAGAACCACCTTGTACAGCATAATAAACAGCACCACAGGAAAGTACTGCTCAGTAGCTTTCATTTGAATGGTCACACTTTAGAATTTTATCCACAGACTCAAAGGCTAGAAACACCTTGTAGAGCATAATAAACAGCACCAAAGGAAAGAACTGCTCAGTAGCTTTCCTGTCAATGGTCACACCGCAGGAATTCGTCTACAGACTCAAAAGTTAGAACCATCTTACAAAACTCCATCGGTCACTCCGGGTGTCCTTAAGTTAACAGTCGGCAGGAGCCCCTGCATTCGGCGCTCCCGTGTGACAACTGGCTAAATTCTCTCCCATGTTCATTTCTCTAGATATAATTAATTACAAATTGACATTGTAATGAATGAATGAATGAATGAATGAATGATTTATTTAATGTCGAAGACGTGGGAAGTGTTTACACAATCTTCCGAGCCAGAGGCTCATGTTAAAAACGCTCGACAAACTAAAAAATACAAAACAGGATAAAAAGTGAATTATGTATATACAAATATTAAGGAAAACCTAAAAACATCGTAATTTTGGGAAAATTTTTTAATGACGCCTAACATTGGATTTGACTTATTTTATTCTGTTCTCGAACCTCTATGTTATTTCTTGACAGAAAGTGACGCCTATGTCGCCAGATTATATTCTTACCCAAGGCCCTATCGCTGCCACCCTAGATGACTTTTGGTTGTTAGTCTGGGAACAAAAATCCCCCGTGATAGTCATGCTTACCAAAGAAGTCGAAGGAAATCGCGTAAGTTCAGTCAGTAATGTTTTATGAATACCTTTAAAGGTTGGGGTCCTTAATGGTTTCCTGTAGTAAAAATCTCCAAATTGCTTTTACGCGTGTGCGCGCACGTTTGNTAGTAAACGCTCCACTATTGTTTTTCGGGCGGGGTGGGCGCGATTGTGGCCAGCCCTCTGTTGGATTTCCCCGAAAAATGAAAGAAAAGCTTAAAACCCACATTTTTCCCGCGCCTTTGGGCTTTCTATCACCCGTAAGCAATTTGTCGCCCAATCAGCCGTAAAAACCCCCCCCTGCCGCCCGCACGGGCTTGTTCCCAACCCCCCCCCCCCCCCCCACTTCCTACGTGTGTTTGCTCGATATCTGATTGGTTCGTTGGACTTTCCCGCGCTTGGTGCCCGACACATGGATTTGCTTGAGATTTGATTGGTTGATCGCCTTCGCGCGTGATTAGTAATTAGCCACTACGTGTTGTGATTAGCCAATGTAATCGCTGTATGGTTTTATTTGTTTTTCAGTTAAAGTGTCATCAGTACTGGCCCATTGACGAGGGTCACACGGTTGTATACGGAAATATTAGGGTACATATGAGAAGCAAGAATCACTCTGAGGCCTGGATAGAGCGCATCATGCACGTACAGCATTCCGAGGTGAGTCAAATTTTCATAGAGCTTTTTTCCTGTGACCTTGAAATGAAAACACGCGAACAAAACAGAAACAACAAACGAACGGAAATAGAGTGATTTGATTGGTTTATCGAACGGATACAAACGCGAGTGGCTTTTGGTTGGTTAAGCGAACGCTCGGGTGAAAAAACTTCATGCCCGAGAACTCTCTAGAAGTCAACAGATACTTCGCTTTGACGTCATACTGCAACATGATTGGCCAATCAAACAATGCCTTCTCCATATTAGGGTTTTCTTTAGCGGGAAAACGAAGAGGCCATGTTTTGATCTTATCATTCATTGGCTGATAAAGCAAATAACGAAGACTCACCGAAACCATTTTTCAAGGTCATACGAAGATCGCTCTATACTGCTTCGGAGTACTGAGTATCATCACGAGAAGAGGTACCCCGATAGAGTTCATTAATCTTCAATTTTGTTATCCTGACACACATCTTCCCTTGATCCTGCAATGCCGACGCGTTTCATCTGGTCTCGAGCATGTTTCCAAAAGTGCCTTCAAAGCGTCCAGATTGCTCATCTTTGGAGATCCAGGGCCACACGCAAGTCCTTCTTTCTTCCTCTTTAAGTTTGAAAGAGCGCAAGTTCACTTTATAACTGACATTTTCGCCCCTGTCGACACCATTGTTCCTTAAACTTCCTTTAGGAAGTGTCGGGTGAGCGAGACAATCAGGGCAATTATACGGGAACCACGCTTCTCGCTCCCTACGTTTTTATGTGCCAGCTATTAGAGAGCTTTAGATTTTAAGACGAGGACAACTACGAGAACGAGATTTTCTCAATACTAAGTAGTGCGCGCGCGCGAACCAACGTCATTTTGGCGGGAAAATGTGGTAGCCGTCGTTAGTCTACTACGAGTTTTAGCGAGAATGTCGTAATGGCGAAAACAAGTTATAAAATGTTAGGAATTTTATAATTTAGCGATCGGGAGAGGGCTTTGCCTCCAACGGAAATACGTGTGCTAACGTTTGTGGTGAAAAAAAGTACAATGAAGGTTTCCGGGGTGTCTATTTTTAGAGAATAGGTGAGAAAACTGGATCATTATACGTATCTGGGTAACTGACCACCTACCCCTCCCCTAAACCAACATTAACAATTACTCCTCACTTAGGACAGAATGTTGATTTAGGGAATGGGTAGGTGGTCCGTTACCCAGAAACGCGGTTTCGGATCATGTGTTATATTTTCCTACACTTTTGTTTGCTATAAGACGGAAGCAGGCAAAGTAGCTCAACTTATCATGGGCCTATTATTACCCTTTTCTCCTCATAACTGTCTTTTTCTTGTTGTTTGTTTTTCTTTAGAGCGATGAAGTACTAGTTGTGTCTCACCTGCAGTTCACTGGCTGGCCTGATCAGTAAGTTAGTTCCGTGTTTAAAGTAATCGTAAAACCGTATCTTTGTTTTGAATGGTACAGGCAAGGACGAACATGAGCCAAAGGCCCAAACGGCTGGAGCTTATCCCGGTTTCTTAAGCATGAAGCATGGCTAGGAGTATTGCTACTCGGAGAGTTGTGGAGGCGTGTGTGGCCGAGCGGTTGACATCTCGAACTCTGGATCTGGAGGTCCGGGGTTCAAGCCTCGCCCGTCGCGTTGTTTCCTTAGGCAAGGAACTTTACTCCACTTTGTCTCTTTTCATCCAGGTGTATAAGTGGGTACCGGTGACATACTGCTGGGGGGTAACCCTGCGATGGGCTAGCACCCCATCCAGGAGGGGAGTATCAATACTCCTAGGCTTGCTTCATGCTACAACGGAAACCGGAACTAAGCTCCGGCCGTGTGGGCCTTTGGCTCAGTGCGCCTTTTCTGACTCTACTGACAGACAGTCATTAACATCGTGACTTAATTGACCAATCAGGTCAATAACCAGAGTTTAATACCCATCAACTGACGTGATACAACTCACTTTGACTCTGAAGATGACTACCGCACAGGTTGTCGAAACGTCAGTCACTATCAACAACAACAGTCCTATTCAGGACTACGTTCACCCGGACGATCATACTCAACTTACTTATGAAATGACTCCTGGGTCCAAACCTTTCACAGAGTGACTAACCTGTTCTTAAACAAACGTCAACTATGACTTTCTCTGTTTGTAGACTTACGAACTAGTGGTTGTATCGTCTTTTTCTCTAGCGGTGTTCCTCATTCTCCATCGGATCTTTTGACGTACTTATCAGAGGTGCATAACCATCACTATACTAGGGACCCTCAGGCTGAAAGGCCTCTGGTGGTACACTGCAGGTAGGGACTGTTGTATGTTGTCATTTTATGTCCAGGCCCTGTACTTTTGTGCCACGCTTTATGTTAGCGCTGACGTTATGCTCAGTAAAAATTGTCTTTTTTCTGCAAGTTTTGGCATCAAATAAAATCTTTGCAACAATTTCAAAATAGTGAAACGAAATTTGACCCACTTTGAATTTAAACTCGTCAAAGAATGTCATAGACATCAGGCAGAAGGGTTTACGGTCATCTCGCTACCAACGAAATCGCCACCACATAAGAACTCTACAATAATTGACACAGTCACTGTTTACTTACTTGGGATTGTTACTTTCTCCTCAAGCCCAAATATAAGTTAGTCGATTTTAATTGACAAATTGCGTCGAACTTCTCATCTTTAATTTTTTGTGAAAAAAAATGACTTTTTAACACCTTAAAACGGCTTATTTGCATTGCTCGAGAGGTGCAACTGGATTAAAATACAACAGCCTTTCTTATGAAAGTTGGTTAATATTACTGTCACTTGAACCTTACCTCCTTAAATTTCATTGTAAATTGAGAGGGAAAGAATTCTTTTTAGAGACTTGTCCTTTCCAAAAGTATTAAGATATATATTTCTTTTTGGCGATTTCGTTGGTGAGGAGGTGACTGGATACCGGCAGAAGCACCGGGGTTATATGTTCTGCCTGACGTCCTCTGTGAGTCCGTTCCACATAGTTGCTGATGCATATCTAAAGGAGTGTAAACCTTGATTGTGGTCTTATAATTAACGCAGGGAACAATCACTTTGTTTGATCCCCGCAGATCGTGTGTTGTATTCTTCATTTGACACATTACACCTCTATATTTCGGCATCGTTTCAATATGGATGGCCTTAAAAACTGTAATTTACCATGTCTTGGCACTCAGAACTATACAAATGTCTACACTGGATTTATCTGATTTAAAAGGTCCTGGAAGTGAAGAGCCGGGTTTTGTGCAGAGTCGGCTCGAGTTCGAACAGTTTAAACTTTTTGTTTTATAATCTGTGGTATCGTTTCAGTGCTGGCGTTGGCCGAGCAGGAACCTTCTGTGTTATTTACACGGCGATCCGTGAGCTGAATGGTACGGGGAATATTGGTAAGGATTCATACAATGAGAATAACTATTGTCACGCACTCTTTTCTGCTCAGCAAGTATATTGTAAACTATGAGAAGAACTGTAAGTTTGTGTCACGCACTCTTTCCCACTCTGGGAGAACTATAAGTATGTTATTTCACGCACTCTTTCCTGCTCAGGAAGTATATTGTAAAATATTATGTATCTTTTAGAAGAACTCTAAGTTTGTGTCGCGCACTCTTTTCCGCTCTAAGAGAACTGTAAGTATACTATGCCACGTACTCTTTCCCGCATAGGAAATTTAAGACTATAAATGCATTTTTAGAGTAACTGTAAGTTTATTGTGTTGAAGATGCATTTATTGAGAGGAAGTGTAAGTCAGGGTTCGCATTAAATCGATGTCTTATTTCCAACAATTGGCGGTCCTATGGCACATAAATCAGGCGTAGCATAAAAATTGTTCGTGAAAAACAAAAGAATAATAAACAGCAAAGTTAACATTATGTACTAATGAAATAAACTTCTAAATCTCTTTCTCAAAACAAAAGAACTTTTTTACCTCAAGATTGGTTCCCTCCAAAATTCTTGGGTCCCCCATTTTTGCCAGACATGTGGGTTCCAGGACCCAGATTTTAAAACTCTGGCTTCTATCGTAGCTCCATCGCTGTGTAACTACGTGACGTGTTGTCACGCACTCATTTTCGCTCTGAAAATAATCTCTTTAATCCTTTAGCGTAGCTGTTACTAAGGTACATGTCGGTCACGCACTCTTTCTCGCACAACGGTATATAGTTAGATACGACTCTTTCAGTGTGAAAGCTCTTCTGTACCCGTTATTATAGTAATTGTAGTGCATGTAGCGTTTTAATCACATTTTCTATCATTTTATCACAGAACTTTTTTTGGTTTTCATTGTAGTTAACATCCCTAAACTTGTCAGTCCAGACTACCTGTCCCCTCCGGTGAACAAAGGATGCAAGCACCCCAGCCTGGAGTTCCACTGCAGCATCAGCAGAATTTTCCAGAACAAAGGGTCCCTCAGGCACCGAACTCACCAGCTACTGGGCCACCTGTTCGTCCTACCATCCCTTCTCAACCTGGAGTTCCATTCTCTCAGATGGGTCCCAGGGGGCCTGCACCTGCTGAGCATCTTATTCATTCCACACCAAGGATGTCTTACCCCGTACCACTGACTCCCTCCTTTCCGCCAGGAGGCGCCCAAGGAGTTCAACCTGGTGGGCCTGGGGGGCCTTACCAAGTGCCTCACCCGTCTGGGCAGCAACCCCGTCAACAGCTGGCACCTGGACAGGTACCGGGACCTGGAAGTGCTCCAGGTCTTCCATCTTATGATCTAGCTAAACGTATGCCTGGAACTCAGCCCTCTATACAACAACCACCTCCACAAAACTGGCCAAAAGGGCAATATCCCGCCACATCACAACAGCAAGCAGGAGGCCATCCGTCAGGTATCACTCCTCAACAGCAGTTTCAGGCCCCAAGAGGGCCATATCCTACGTCACAACCTCCGCATATTAGTCCGGCTGGGTCACCTCAGGTGTTTCCACAGCAAATTCCCACCAGTCAAATGTCACAACCTTTGCAGCCTGCAACCAGTCAGTACCAACCAAAGAACTGGCCAACTCAGCCATTTCACTTTCCAAAACTGGCTCAACAACCCATGCAGCCCCAGCAACAGTTTCAACAAATACAGCAGCCTTATCAGAGACAACAACAGCCACCTCATCAATTCCAGCTGCAACCACAACCTCTTCACCCTCAGCAGCAAGCACCTGTCAATCTCCAGCAGCAACAACCTGCCCGTCCTCCACCACAGCAACAACACCCTCTTCATCCCACGCAACAGCAACCACCCCATCCCCAACAGCAATTGCAGCAACCGCAGTTTCCACCACCTCTTCAGCCTCAAAAAGTACCACCGCCTCCACCTCATATGCAACAGCAGTTTCAGCAGGGGCCACCATCTCAACCACAACAGAAGCCCCAACAACCTCCTTATTTCCAGCAACAACAGCATCCATCGCAACCTCCACAGCAGTCGCAACAACCCATGCAGCAGTTTCAACAACCCGTTCACATGAATCCACAATTTAATCAGCCTCAGCAACAAATTCAACATTCTAGAGAACCACTCAAACCGACTCAGGTCCCACAGCCAAAACAGCAACAACAACAGCAACAGTTTCAGCCACCATTACCGCCCCAACTCAATTACCAACAACAGTTGCAACCAATGCAACCTCAAAAGGCTCAGCAACAACCGTACAAGCCACCTCTGCAACCACAGCCTCTTTCTATGCAGAAACCTCTGCTGGACCATCAAATTCCAACTGATCGTCTTCCCCAACAGGCATTCCAGCCTGGGAAAACACCCCCACAAAATGCACAGGGTTCCCTTGGTCCTCAGATGCCTCAACAAATTAGTCAGGTACCAGAACTGCCTCCTAAGGGTCGGTCCCAGATGAGTCAGATGCCTGGTTCAACCTCGTGGCCGCATCAAAGCTCTAATCTTTCTTCACAGCCACCACAGATGGGATATCCTAGCCAGAAGTCATATGCAGGCTATAGTCAGAGTCAACAGCCATCACAGACCAGCAATACTTCATCACAGTTAGGGTATCCAATGCTACCTGAGAAAAAACGTTCTCAGGCTGATACCCCTTCGTCAAAACCTCCTCAGGAAGGATTCCCATCTCAGCATCCAGGAAGTTTACAACCCGCTCCGCCTTCCTCGCTCCAGGGTTGGGGGTACCCCCAAGCGTCACAGCCTTTGCCTTCAACTGGAGCTTCCCATGGCAATCAGTTCTCACGTCAAGATTCAAAAGAACCACAGCGCTTAGGAGGAAACCAAATGCTTAGTCCTCAGAAGTCACTGCCTTACGAGCAGAGACCCGTAGATCAGGGATGGGCCCCATCTGCTGGTGTTCAACGACCTCCACCTCCAAACCAGGCAGCATATTCACCAGTTATTGCACGACAAAATTCTGCTGATTATGGTAAAGACAGACAGTACCAAGGGCAAACTAGAGGTCCTGTTGGATCATACCCTCCGTACACTGGGATTGTAACTAAACCTCCTTCCTCACCAGCTGCGGGAAACCCACCTTATAGCTATAGTGCAGTATCCGTGACACGTCCTTTGGTTCAAGGGGTCAGGCCCAGCCCTACCAGCCTGCCACCTTCTTCAGCCTATGCTACTAGTTACTCGGTATCAGTAGCTCAAGCGCAGTTGAACCAGCAGCAGCAAATGCAGCAGCTGCAGACTCAGATGCTTCTGCAACAGCAGCAGCTTATCTTACAGCAACAGGAGCTCCTGCGCCAACAGCAACACCAACAGCATCACGAGTCTGATCAAGGCCACCTCACACAGCTTTT